TGGTCCTTGGCTGGTCCTTGGTTGGTCCTTGGCTGGTCCTTGGCTGGTCCTTGGCTGGTCCTTGATTGGTCCTTGGCTGGTCCTTGATTGGTCCTTGGTTGGTCCTTGACTGGTACTTGGCTGGTCCTTGGCTGGTCCTTGGTTGGTCCTTTTCTGGTACTTGGTTGGTCCTTGGCTGGTCCTTGGTTGGTCCTTGGCTGGTCCTTGGCTGGTCCTTGATTGGTCCTTGGCTGGTCCTTGATTGGTCCTTGGTTGGTCCTTGATTGGTCCTTGGTTGGTCCTTGGCTGGTCCTTGATTGGTCCTTGACTGGTCTTTGGCTTGTTCCCTAAAATTCCTTTTTAAACATCTAAACTATTCTTCCTGTCATGGTTTGTGGACAATAAGATCTAAAGACCAGCGCCATCTCCTGGTCAGACCCTGTAATTCAGTGAAAGGGTGGAGTCAGAGTAGAAAATTATTCACACCCAGGAGAAGGCCAGTGGCTGGAAGTTGGAGGGGATTTTGCTGCCATTTTGGCTTTTGACATGGAACGGCCATTTTGAATGGCTGCTACTGTATGGAACGGTTCAGTGCAGCACAGAATAATAAATGTGGTGCGAACTACAGAAGAACGCAGTAGATCAGTAGGGAGAGAAGACAGGCAGCAGCGTGTTTGATCAGCTGCAGCTGTTGGACTTTATTGATAAACCTATGAAGACTCTGTTATGATAAATGCATGGATGAGTTTTTCTAGATCCTGCTTAGACATTAGAGCTTTAATCCTGGACCTCACTGCTTCACAGAGTGTCTATGGTTGGAAAGCATCCTCATATCTTCTCACAGACGTCTTCATTAAGGTGGAGGAAGAACCCCAGCATCAGAGATCATCAGGAAACTGAAGAGGAACCATTGAAATGCAAACATTTGCACTGAATAAACCTTCGTGTGTGTTGGAGCAGCTGACAGACAGTTTGAAGAGTAGCTGAGCAAACAAGAGCGAGCAGCTCAGAGCTACAAGGTCTTAATCCGACAGGATTGTAGTAAAAAAAGAAAAGAAGCAGAAGCAAAGCAAGCAGTTCATCTGAGGAAACCGACAGCAGCTCAGTAAAAAAAAGCAACAGAGAGGATCCAGAGAGCATGAATCTGCACCCGGCTAAAGGAGACGCATCCTCCCTCCTGTTAAACATTTAGGATATGTCTATGAGCAGAAACGTTCATTACGTCTCTTACCCAGAAATCAATCTCAGATAATGAGATCTCATCTCCTCACTTCCACCTATTTTGGGCTCCTTACAGAATGAGCTGTTTCAGGGCTCTGTGACTTTTGGAAGCTGTAAATGAGGGAGGGCGCTTTCAGCCCCCCCGTTCACATGAAACAGGCTGCAAAAAGGAAGCAGAATGGAACACATGTAGGACGTTTACTGAGGATGCAGAGGATGAAGTCCTGCACAGTCGGCAGGGATGCAGCAGGTTGTTGGTGAAGCTCAGGAATTCCTGCTTCTTCATGGCTACGAAAGAGAGACCACAAATGTACGCTGGAAGCCATGTCTCTGTTATCTTGTATTATTGAAATCTCTGAGGTTTCATGCTTTTATAAAATGCTGATGTCTGTAAAATATTTCTAGGAGGAGATCTGATTTTTTTAGGTCTGAAGAATTTGCGGGGGAAAAAAAGACGCTATAGTCCTAGCATTTTTTGAGCATATTTTAAGTGTAACTTTGCATCATGCTAAGCATTAGTTGTCTCTATGCATTAATTTCACAGTTGAGTTGTGTATAAACTTTATTCCGCCATAAATTATTATTTTTATATTCTTTGCTTCGGTTGGGTTGGGGTTAATTTGCAACCCTTTGCCTGGTTCTGCTGGAGGTTTCTTCCTGTTCAAAGGGAGTTTTTCCTCTCCACTGTCGCTACAAGCATCCTTAGCGTGAGGCATTGCTGAAGAGTCAATGAGTGGATGCAATAAGCTGGTTTTCCTTCGATAGAAAACTTTGAATCAA